TTTTTTTTTTTTTTTTTTTTTTGGTACCAGGGATTGAACTCGGGTCCTTGCGCTTGCAAGGCAGGCCACCGAACCGCTGAGCTAAATCCCTGCCCCCTTCCCATTTCTTAAACACAGCACATACTATATAATTGGTTTGAAATGGCTCTTACACTTGGGAAACCAAAGGATAAGCACTTACAACATTGGTACTTTTATTGAATTCTTAAAATTGCTTTGTAGTACTTTCATAATGCATAGCAAAGTTTGGCTACTTACACTTGATCCACATTGTAGAAAAATTTTCAGGTTTTATTTTCTCTTGATCCTGTCTTCATGTGTAATGGTTGGTTCTAAAAACTGTTCATTGGCGTGACTGCTCTTAATCTGGCAGCTAGGTATACGGAAGAACTGAACTAGATATATGAAGAAATAAAGGTGCAAAGGTAAACATTCAGTCGTTGCTTTCCCCACTAATGAAGTTACAGAGACAAAAGGAAGACACGTCACTGTACATCATACCTTTCAATAAATCAACTTTCTGTTAAATTGCACTGGTGCCATTTTAACATGATTTTGTCAAAGGGAACATATACTGTTTTCCTAATCTATATCTAAAATGAAAGACGAGAAGAGACCTTGCCAAGCTGGCTGGAGCAGATTGGGTCATCAGGGATATCTAGATACCAGGCTCTTAAATTGAGGAAGGTAAAGCGTAAATAGAAGTAGACCTCAATTTTAGTATTTGTGCTGCCAAAGCAAGCACAGCAGCAGACCTCAAATAGATCTCTGGATTGGCCTTGACAGTAGGGCTTACTAGTATTAACATGCCCTTTACTAGTTTTACCACATTAAATCCTTACAACATTCCTCTGAAAGACAGTTACATCCACTTAAAAGATAAAAACAATGGAGAAACTGCACAAGGCTCACAGCCTGGAAGTGGAATCTGTGCTCTTCAGCAGCAGCCAAAACTAGTTATTTTGTTTTTTGAGACAGGGTCTCACTGTGTAGAGATTGACCTGGAACTCACTAGGTAGCCCAGGCTGGTCTCAAACTCATACCAATTCTCTTGCCTCAGCCTCCCGAGTGCTGGGATTACAGGCAGGTGCCACTGTGCCCAGCCCTAGTTTTTTTTTTTATATTCACCATTTTTTTCCACTTGGAACTATAAAATGAGCATTTCTGGATAGATTTTACCAGGATAATTTAGTCCTTCCTCCCTCCATGTGTGGCACTGAGGATTAAATCCAAGGAGTGCTGAGATACTCACCTCTTGCCCTTTCAAAAAGTATTTTTAAATATTTTGAGATAGGGTCTAAGTTGCCCTTGTTCCCCTTCCCATTTGAAATTTTTTCTTCCCACTTCCCAATATCACCCATTTTGGTCCTTATTTACCTTTGGTTTCTCACACAAGAGAAACAATGTGATACTTAAATACATGTGTCCAATTTATTTCACTTAGAAGTATAGTCTCAGGATCCATCCATTTACTTAAAAAGTCTCATTTAACCTTGATGGCCGAGTAGTACTCCATTGTTTATTAAAGCCAAACTTTCTTTATCCATTTATCCATTGATGGGCATCTGGGCTGCTTCCAAAATCTAGATGTTACAAATGTGCTGTAAACATCGAAGTACATGTATCACTGTGGTATGACACTTCTTGGGAAGATACCAAGAAAAAATAGCTGGTTCAAAAGGAACCTCTCGTTTAAGTTTTTTAAAGAGTATCCATATTGATTTCCACATTTTTGGATTGAGTCTTCAAATTTGGGGGGTCTTTTTGGAGATTTTTATAATTCTAGATATTAGTCCTTTGAAGAATGTCTGGTTAAAAAAAAAAATTCCCACTCTGGATTGTCTCTTCACTGTTGGTGGTTTCTTTGCTATGCAAAAGCTTTTTAAAATGATGAGGTCCCAGTTCTTGATTCTTTGTGATTTTTTTTTCCTGTGCAATTGGGGTTTTGTTCATAGTCTTTGCCTACATCTATGTCTTCAAGAGTTTTACCTATTCTATTATCCAACAGATTGTTTTAGTATTTAGACCTTTGATCCATTTCAATTTTAGTTTTAATGCATGATGAGATATGGAACCGCAAGTTATTTTATTAGAAGGCTAGAAACTGGCTGCCCATTGAGTGTGTTTTTACTGAGCTATAATGTTTAGCATAGCACATATTAAAAAATTAATACTTGAATATATTGAAAAACTGTTAAGGATTTACAAAGATAAGTTATGGTCTCAAGTACCTAATAACTTGGATTTAACTTGACTTTGGTCTTTCCCCAAGTATAATCTAGGTTAGAGAGAAAAGTAAAAATGTATATACTTTTTATTCTATTTGTAGTAGTAAGAAATCCTTTGAAACTACTAGTTTACCTCAACCTGAACTTTTATTAAAATAATACTGGACAGACCTCATAGTCAGATTAGTTGGTAATCCTTTTGAGAAAAGTCAAGGGAAATCTGACAAACTTGATCCTAGTGCCTGGGACAAAGTAAAGCTCATAGTATCACTTCCCTCCCTAAATGAACATGGAAGCAAGTTTTCTTCCTCCCAGGATTAAATTAGAATACCTATAGTGAAGATAAATTTAATAGCTCTGATCAACAGATACTAAACCTTGAAAAATGCTGTTTTCCATTTTGATTCAGCATTTAGGAAGAATTATCCAACCATTAATGTGCAGGCCTACAGTAGTAGACCCCTCAGTACAGAAAATATCAACCAATTCCTATATTTCAATGTTTATTCTTACTACGTTATCAGGACATTTTCTAGCAGTAGTTCTCCATGGCCTCTGTTTTGAAGATCAAAGTAGTTCCTTAAAGCATGACCCAAACTCGGATAAAGTAATGTATCATCCCTGTTTGTTTCTTTGGTTGAGTCCAATCCAGTCAGCTTTGACCTTTATTGACAGCTATTCCTCCTGCCCCTATCTAGGATTTATTTTGGACTCTTACTCCTTAATTTGTACAGCTCTGCTACTTATGACTATTCCTACTATTCACCTCCCATAGCCTTGACATTCTGCCTGGGCAGGTCAGCCAAACTGTAACTGAAATTTGAGCCATATCCACAATTGTTACTAAAGCATTACTTACACATGGTAGATTTTTTTCAACAGGGCCAAACTACTTTATTTAAATATAAAAATCTTTTTTCAAAACTGACAACTAAAAATCACATTTTTTCGTATGTGAGCTCATGACCACACACAGTACAAGTCTTGCGATACATATCATCTTCTAAGTTTTCTTCTGGTCCATACTCATGTTGATGAGCACTTGTGTCTCTTTTCCACACACTGCTTCTTACCACTCGTCGCAATTCTAAGGAAAAAATAAAAGATTTTCAGTGGAATCAATAATTAAGTCCATCCAGGCTTTCAGTCATATTTGTGTGTATTTAAACAATATATGGCTTAATTTTATAATAAAAGTTGATCACACAAACTAGGCAAGCTTTCTTTCCTACCTTACCTGCTTGGCCTCTGAAATAGTCATTGTTGGAGAAATTCAGAGATGGGCATGTGCGTTAGAAGTATCACATAAGAGAAAATAGGGTGCCATATCAGGAAAGGGGGAACTGGCTGAGATAAAAGAAAAAGGGTTCTTTTAAGTTCCTTTGGGGGGGGTACCAGGGATCAAACTCAAGCCCTTGCGAGGCAGGTGGCAGTACCACTGAGCCAAATCCCTGGCCCTGAGTTCCTTATTTATGTATAAGTCCAGAGCCACTTCTGTAAGAAGCAAGTCAAAGTTTGCTAATAAGCAAACTAGAAAGAAAGCCAAGAACTCCTAACACCATATATGCTGATACATTTTCATCTACACTGCTCATGCAATTACCTTCAATCTATTAAGTTCTTTATTTTGTAAAATGAGACCATTATTTTAGGATAGGAGTTGTCAGTAACTAAAGAAAAACTCCAGAATAAAAATCAGAATATTAAGAGCAGGAAAGAAACAGAGGTTTAACTTCAGTTTTTTGCAGACAGGGAAACTCAGCAAAGATAGTATATGAACCCAGGTTATCTTCATCCAGTGTTCGGCACTTTTTACACTACATCATTTTGAAGTCATTCTACAAAAATATATGTTGGATGCTTTGAAAACAGCTTAAGGCAATGACATTTTAAAAGTGCACAGAGCACAGTATCTGAGGAAATCAAACTGCTCACTGTATAGGAATAAGCTGGTATGTCTCAGTTTCTAATGAGAAAGCTACATTTTTTTTACATTTTTATCACAGCAATCCACCAAATCTGTTTCTGACAGTGGCAATACCTAAGAGGGTTTTGATAGCTTTCATAATCTAAAAAATAAAAGTCAACATACACCAGGTAATCATATATTTCCTCAGATTTATGGTAATGTCAAAATACTACTTGGAGCTGGGCATGATGCTGCACACTTGCAATCCCAGCACTCTGGGAAGCAAAGGCAGGAGGCTTGTCAATTCAAGTCCAGCTTTGGTAATTTAGTGACTTAGCAAGACCCTTTCTGAAAAATAAAACATAAAAGGACTGGGGGTGTAGCTCAGTATGAAGGCCCTGAGTTTAATCCTTATTACCACCAACACAACAGAATAACAAGATACTACTTGGATCTTTGTATTTTCTGGCTGAACATACTATGAAGATAAAAGCAAACAGGGCTATGTACCAGGCACGTTTCTAAGCACTTTAAGAGTAATGTTGAGGATTAAGTACAACTATCATTCCAGTTTAACAGATGAGAAAACCAACATAAAGGAGCTATAAATTGTTTAAGGTCAGACAGCTTGTTGGTGACAGGTAGTATAGCCTGGGTTCACATTCTTCACTCCTAAGATGGTCTGCTTTTTTCATACCCCCAGTGTGTAAAAAGCACTTTCTTTGAGATTTCAAGTTTTAATGCATAGAATTCTAGACAGTTTCCACCTGGGGAAAAATTATGTTCATCGAGATTCTAATATGTATTTAGAGTCTCCTCTAAACTTTAATCTTTGCTCCTCCAAAATATAATTTTTTACTCTCATTGTGAACTCTAGTTTTTCTAGATGTATCTTGAATGCCCTTTCTCCTTTCATTTTATTTTTTCCTTAGGACATTTTATAAGTAAAAACTAAGTAATACTGAACAGAACTGCACAGATGCCTCCTGGTTTCAGATAATGTAGGAAGGCTTTTCCTATTTGAGTTCTAATAGCTGCTTTTCAACTTTGTTCTGATGTAAGGTACCCTCCTGGTCATTTTCCATATAATACTCCCAGTGAAAGCCCCTTGAACACATTAACATCTCTGCGGAATTATGTGTTCCTAGGTGGAGAAGTAAGAAACAGTTGCTTAATAGTAAAAGAATACAACAAAAAATTAGTTTAAGTCGTAATTGAACCTAAAGTTTTACACTTTTTTCTTCTTAGTGTGTCAAACTATATGATGACAAGAACAGAGCCATACTGCATTTACTAGACATTCCTAGGAAATCATGCTAGAAAGTACAAATTGAGTGTCCCATTTTCCAAAGTGCTTGGGATCAAACACATCCAATTTTTTCTGGAATATTTGCATGTGCATGAGAAAGGCATCCATACAGGGTGTGGGAGTCCCAACAGTAAGGGGCTCCCTTCAGGTAAGGCAGCAACAGTGATCAGAGATTCATCATACACAGACCCTTTGATCCAGCCAGGTTTCTCATATCAGAGAAGGGAATTATAGATAACAAGTTCTGAGATTGTGGATTAGAACTAGATACTAGTGGGAATTCAGGTTTTTAATTTGTAAGTGTGAATATAGATTATACACACATATACAGGCAGACAGAAATATAGATAGTATTTCATTCCAGAGAAAGTAAATTTATACCAATAATAAATAGGGGAAAGATGCCGTAGAATGCTGATACTCAACTGGGTAAATGTCAGAGGAGTGTTAGGATTAGAGCTCAGTGGTGTCACACCTGCCTTGCAAATGCAAGGCCCTGAGTTTGATCTCCAGTACTGGGGGGCGGGAACCAATCTTAATAACCATCATCTTGAATACTGGTCCATCCACCGAGAACCATCAATGGAAGGATTCTCGTCTAGCAGGGAGTATTGAGAAAAAGGATGTTTGCATTTATTTTTGCACATCAGATAAAAAAAAAAATCAGAATCCCTACCATTGAGAGAGCAAGATAAAATGTGCCTTCAGATGTGAAGGACTGGTACATATCATGTACTATCCCTGTCCTGAAATGCATACACACCCAGGATTCAACTAGCAAAAAAGGGCAAAAAAAGCCCCAAGTGAGAAATGCTGTTTCTAAAAAAGCAAGGTAGGGGAAGGGAAGAGATTTCTTTAAAAATGTCAGTGTCGTAAAAGACAAGGATTATGAAAATCCAGAACAGTTTATACAGACTTGGTACCTAAAGCCAGTATCTGATCCTAGATTGGCTCCTGCTCTAAAAGGAAAGCACTAAAATGGTCATTACTGGGTCAACAAACAAAACTAGAATATGGATAGCCAATTGGGTAACGATGCTAAGTATTAAATTTGCTAGACAATGGAGCTGGTTATGGCAAGAGAATACCCCTGACTGGGAAATACATGGTAGCTACCGGGTGGTGCTATATACAGTTTACTCTTGAGTGGTTTAGAAAAGGGGCAAAGGACAGTGTTTCAATTTACTTTTGACGAGTTAGGAAAAAGTGTATACAGAGCATGCAAAGGGCAGCACAAAGTGCTAATCACAGATCAATTGGGGTAATGGATCTATAGTCCTTTGTTCTTTGTACCCTGGCAATTTTCTATAAATTTGAAGTTACTTCCAAATGAAAAAGTTTAAGAAAAAGAAACCAGACTGATGGAGATTCCAAATTTTGGACAGTTTGAGCATCAAAGTAACAGGAATGAACGGCAGTACTTTGAAAATAAAATCTTATCAGTTGAAATGATTATTTTTTTTTTAATTTAAAAGGCCTGAGGAAAAGCTTTTATGGAAAAAGAAACCAAATAATAATTGTACAAGAATGACAGAAATAGAAAAATCATCATTTATATCTACCTTAATAAACCCAGATATGAATTATCCCCTTATACTAAAAACCTTGAATAAAACAAATGAAGTATTCTGTGTCAAGCATTTTATTCATTTAATTACAAGCGGAAAAGGATATTTTTAATGGAGAAACCTAGCAGACACCATGCAATCCAACTGTCCACCCATTCAAGAACTGGCAGCATGTCTCTTGAAGTGGTGCACTGGGACTGTCACTTAGGAAGTGTTCCTACCAGGAACATTCCACTATCTGCAAACACACTACCACACATCCTATGCAGGCTCATGGTGCATAAGGGCTGGCCTGGACACTGCACCAGTGTCTGTATAAGAGATTACAAAGTCTGAGGGACTACATTAAGAGACAGTTACCACACCTCATCCCCTGAGCAGCCCCTGCATCCAGCAGCTAAAAACTATAAAAGACACTGAAATAATTGGCAAGTATTAAGTACCTATTATGTACTAGACAACTGCTTTATACTGTTAAATTCCTGAGTGTGACACCGTATCTTAGTTATGGAAAAGAATGCTATTGTGTTAGGAGAAACATGCTGAAGGATTTAAAGAATCACCATGTCTGCAAATGGATCAGCAAAAGTGTAAGACAAACATGACAAAATGTCAACATTTTTGGTAAAAAAACTTTAAAAAATAAACAGTAATTTTTTTTGCACTCACTTAACAACTTAGGGAAGCACATTAACTCTGCTGCTGAGACTTAGGTGAAATGGCACAAGAGTGGAAAAAAGTCTGAGGCAGCCTTGGAAGCTAAGAGATTAGGCAGGTGCATATCCTCCAGGGAGGATGGCTCCCAGTGAGGTGGCTCATTAGGGCATAGCCTCCTTGTCCCCTTGGTCTAAGATGACACAACACAGAGCCAGTACCTAGAGACTAACTCTCCTGCAAGTGTACGAAAGCGTTCATATCTTCTCAGTACTGATATCCTCAGGGACTGCTTATACTTTTACCCAAAGAGATTTCCCCCTATATCCTTGCTACAGTGAAAATATACCACCCTGAAACTTGAGTTAACTTTAATATCAATTTTGAAAAAGAGACCATATTCAAAGAAACCAAATGTTTATGATGTAAAATTATAAAAGAACTAGCTGAGGGAAGGAGACCAGATACTTCTAAACACTGGGTGGGAGTGCAAGAAGTACTGATGAGGGTTCCCCTTGTTAACTGGAGGGAGACAATGACAAAGCATAGTAACACGAAGCTTGGATCTTCCTTTGTCCTCCATGAACTAAAGCAGGGTAACAGGAAACAGTGTCCCTCAAATTTCTAAGGGAAGCCCCATAGCAGAAATACAGCCATAGGCCCAGGATGTACAATGTCCACAAACTTAGAGGGGACCTCAAAATGGGATTTTCTCACCCATCTCGCTGGGTGTGCATAATCACAGTGAAAATTAGTTTATTTTCCTTCTATCATTATTAAGAGCAAGCTTAACATTACTTGGAAGAAAAGCTTCATCTCTACCTTATTTGTGGAAAGGAGACATGCAAGCACAAAATGTTCTGTGCATTTGTACCAACAAAGTTCTCAATGCATGTCCAAGCCAAGGGATATTACTTTTTGGGGAGGAAAAATACTGAGTTAAACTAAGCAGTACAGATGCTACCATTTCTATGTCTGCCTTCTTGGACATAAGACACAAATTTTGTCTATATATACCTTATACTATTATGTAGTACTTCAATTTTTTTTTTATAGTAAGCTCAATTCTTGCACTATGAAAGTAGAAAACTGTATTCTAAAAGCAGATAAATATAATCTCTTACCTTCCCATAAAGAAGTAAACTTTGTCAGCTTCTTTGTGGATCAAAATCAGAAGACCAAGAGGAACCAGGTTCCAATTTCTTTTCAACTAAAAAACCTTTGCTTCTATTCCTCTCTTTTCTGAGCCTTCTGAGCAAACTGCACAGTCAGCTCCTTGTTTCTAATCTCTAGTGTCTACTCCACTCTCAGCCCTCTGTGGCCTAGTCAGGAGGACAGGAGCATCCACCAACCTCTAAAGTGAATCAACAAGAAGAAGCCATAATTAAAGAAGGCATCACATTGACTTCTCCACACTACACATCAGAAGACAACAGAGTCATGGTCACAAATCCAGAGAGAACAAGTGTAACCATATGCAAAAAGCAAACCAAAAAAGTGGAAAACCATTTGTATTCTTTTTTTCTTTTGGTACCGGGGATCAAACTTGGTACCTTGCGCTTATGAGGAAGGTAGCGGCACCACTGAGCTAAATCTCTGGCCCAACCATTTGTATTTGTAGAGAGTTGGAAAATAAACTACTCATGTGACCACTTTAACCAGTTCCCTCAAAAGGCACACTTCATTTAAATAAATGAACTAAAATTCAGAAATCAATCCTATAAGGTCTAACTTCATGAAAGTACTTCAGGACGAATGTGAACTCAAGGAAAATGAAAATCTATAACAGTTCTTGTGGTCATTAATAGCAGCAACTTAACATAATGAGGGGAAAAAGCCACCTATGTTGAAGTTTTATTCCTTTAGAAATTCCCATGATAACTGTGTAAATTTTTTTACAAGTTCTGTTCACACTAATATTTAATATATATTGAATCTACAGAAAAAAAAAAGCATGATAGGATGGATTCCATAATCTTTTAGTCTGTTAGACAAATTATAAGAACTTAGTTACCATGAGATGACATCTTGATTATATCACAGAATTAGTATAAGAAAAAATTAGACTTTTAAAAAAAATTTTCATTACTTTGTAGATAACATGTTTCTAATGAAAACTTATGCTTTTGTACGTTATTATTACATCAAAATACCATCTGAAGAGCAGTTTGAGGCAGTGGAGAGGGAAGAGCCGAGATGGCTTCAGGTAGCTGGGTTACCAGAAACCCCCTCCTAACCTCAATGCCCTCCTCTTTCACAGCTCTTCCTATGCCTTTTTATTACATTCACCCTTAGCAGCAGCAATCCTTGCTGTTGGAAGAGAAGAAAGGCTGGTTGTAGAGTCCTACAAAGATTTTTTTTAAAGGCCTACTTTAAAGAAATCTTTCCAAATCCTTGCATTTGGACCCTGGTAGATTTCTATGGATCCTGTGACAGCGATGGCTAATTTGGGGAGTACTTCTAAGTGAAGTGCTCTTTTATGGCAGTTTAGCTGTAGGAAACCTCTGTACAAAGCCATAAAGTGTTCTTACTTTCTGATTTAGGAACTGATAAGTAACTATGATTTGTATAATGATGAATATATAACGATATTTTGCACTGCTTATCTGTCTTGATAAACTTCATAAATGGCCAACAATGAATTTTTTATAAAAATGATAGAATTTCAAAATATGGCAATAAGTGTAACTATGAAAAGTGACTATATAATTTCCTATATCATCTTTGCTTGCTTTCAGATCAAGTGTGATGATTCATTTTGTAAATTTTTTTTTTTTTTTTTGTGGTACTGGGCAGTGAACTCAGAACCAAGCGCTTGTGAGGCAGGCACGGTGCCACTGAGCTAAATCCCTGGCCCTATGTAAATATTTTTAATGGCCAACTGGTATCAATTTCAGTAGGATAGAAAAGCTTTTTCTATGTCATGTCTTATAAAGATTTTATAAAGAGAAAAAAGAATTTTAGCTGGGCATGGTGACTCATGCCTGCAATCCCAGCACTCAGGAGGCTGAGGCAGGAGAATCATGAGTTCAAGGCCAGCCTGGGCTACAGAGTGAGGCCCTGTCTCAAATAAACCAAAAATTAAAAAATAAAAAGGAAAAATAACTGGAAGAACATAAAAATGTTACTAATGATTGTCTCTGTAGAATCATGAGCTAAGAGTTCTTTGTAGATTTCTGGCTATTCTACATTCTTAAATTATTCTTGTAATAAAAACGGGGAGAAAAAACCCCTCAAAACAAGGCTTACATTCATTTTTTCATTTTGCTTTTTATTTGTTTTTAAGACATTTGAGTTGATCCCATTCACCCTACAGAACCTCTTCTAAATTCTTAAAACATACACAAAATTATTATGCCTAAACATTCATTCCAAATGGATCTATTTTATATATTTATTACCCCATATATACATAAAATATGTGCTGTCTAGACACACTAGAACTCCACAAAATTACCACATAAAGAACATTTATGTTGCTGAGCACAGAGATGCACACCTGTAATCCCAGCACTCAGGAGGCTGAGGCAGGAGGATCACCACAATATTGAGGCCAGGCTAAACTATATAGCAAGAACCTGTACATATAAAAAAAACTAAAAAAAAAAAAAAAGAACATTTATGTTTGCTTCTTAAAAGACTCTTCTTTGGGCTTCTATTTTAGAGAAGGAAGAATCCTGTGTGCTCCTACATCATTACCACAGTACCCATCCAGTATGATTTGTTTCTCTCTTGACAAATGGTGACTCCAACATTTATGCTAGCATACTGCCTGCCTGTAAATAATAATGAATGGACGGAAGGACAGATGGTCAAATGAATGCAGAGATAAACACAGGAATGGAGAACTGCATGCTGAGACAGACGTACAGAGAAAGGAGTGACTGTCCAAATGAAGACTTTCAGTCCAGAAAGCCTGGTTCCAGTCCCTACTCGTGTAACAAGCCACCTGATGTATCTGGGTCTTTTATTCACATATAAAATAAAATGATCAGACTAGCTGACATCCTTCTAGCTGCTAAATTAGGTAAGACTTAGGGTGCAGTGTTTTTGTTGATTTTCATTTTAAGCAACTAGACAGTTTTGCAGGTATCTATTTAAAAACAAACAAAACGCTACCCTACTTAAGATCTAACTGATAGCAAATCCTTAACCAGGGACACCACTACAACCTTGATCTAACCCTATTTTTTGGTTTGGGGTTTTTTTTTTTTTTTTGGTACCAGGGATCAAACTCGGGTCTCTGTGTTTGTAAGGCAGGTGGCAGAACCACTGAGCTAAATCCCCAGCTCTCTTTGTTTTTTTGAGATCGTTTCACCATGTAGTTCAGGCTGGTCTTAAACTCTTATGTCTTGCAGTCTGGCCTCAAACTCACAGTGATTCTCCTACCTCAGCCTTCTGAGTGCTGGGATTACAGGAGTGTACCACACCTGGCTTACATGTTCTTTAGAAATGCACTGTTGTGAGGTTTGGACTGAGAGCCTCAAACCCTAATCTACTAAGGGCAAATTTAAGTCATTTTATTTTCAACCTATGAAAAAAATACCTTTCAACCAACTGGAGATTATTATATCTTTAATGAGAAAGAATCTAATGGCTAAGACTTTTTGCTAAGTGATAAAACATGATCCTGCACAACATAAAATGTAGCCACTTACCTTTTACTTTTTTATCAAACTTCTTCTGTTTCATTTTTTCTCGGTTCATTTGTCTCACTTCCTTTGCTTCTTCTAGTGCTTCCTGACTACCCCAAACTTCAAGAGACCTCTTCACAATCTACAACAGTCCACATTTAAGTTATGATGCTTCAGAGTTGGAAAATATAATTATCAAATCCAGAGAAGAATGATTTTATTCAAGTAAAATTTAATTTGAAATTTAAAAGATTTAAAATATTAACAATAGGAAATGACTCTGATAACACACCTATCTCAACCTAGGAACCCTCAGCACTGTATGCTGAATTACAGTATACAGTATGTATAGACAAGTTATCCTTTGACTATACTGCTTTCAGAGTACAGAAGGATCCACAGAAGGAATCGGGGTCAGTGGGCTTGAAGAGTGCTCAGGCTTAAAGAAGTCTGTTGATATCAGCCACATCAGACCTATATATGAGGCCATCTCCAAAAATTTCCAACCAAGGAAACCATCAGTTACCATTCATCTCCTTATTGATCAGCGACTGTTTCTATCCATTGACTAACTTCTTTGTTTTTTGGTACCAGGGAATGAACTCAGGTTACTTGCACTTACGAGGCAGGCGGCAGAACCATTGAGCTAAATCCCCAGCCCAACTAACTTCTGATTTACAGAATATGAAGTTTTTTTTTAAAAGCCAAACTGTGGTAACCTAAGTGACCTAAAAAGTCTTTATTCTTAACATAATAAAATGATATATCTGTATTTCACAAATTCTAAGATATAACACTTTTAACAATTTAGCATCCCTGGAACTGTTGCATTACTAATGTGTTTAAGGGTACTTTACCAATAGTAACTCAAAACATGGTTTAGAAGAACTGAACTGAATGTAAAAAGTTTAAGAATAACTTAGTCTTTTTACATTGGCATTTTCCCTATGTATGCATGAACTTGAGACAGTATATGACAAAACTATTAATGAAATCTATTTTAATAAATGTAAAAAAAAACACTAAGTGATAGGAAAACTTGAGTTGGTTTAATTCACAGCATTTTTCTCATTTTTTGAGAAATGGTACAGAAAATAATGAATTTTTTTTCCTTCAGTCCTGAGGCATGAACCCAAGGAACACTGAGCTATATCCCCAGACCTTTAATTTTTTATTTTGAGACATGGGCTTGCTGTGTTTCCCAGGCTAGCCTCAAAAGTGTAATCCTCAGGCCCAAGTCTTGCAAGTTCTGGAATCAAAGCTATGGGTCACCATGTCTGGCAAAAGGTAAACCTTCTAATTGACAGTTTTATATTTAATGACATTCAGTACAGTATTTGTTTCACAATGTGGCTTAATTTTATTAAAAGATGGGGGATTTTCTAGCATATTCCAATTCAAGCTGTATTTGAAAGCAGTAGCTCCCAATACCTGGATGTAATGGCACAAAAATGAAAACTGCACTATCCAAACCACTTGGGAGCAGACACAGGAGACTGACTGTGGCTCTAAGGCAACTTTCCTGGGCACCAGTAGCTCCAGTCACTAAGTGGCTATCAGTCACTATCCTGGCACACCTGTAACTTATTCAGGGCAAGAACAGTTGTGAAGCTCTGTTCTGAGATGTACCTGAGTTACACAGATGCTTGATGGTATTTCCCAAAATAGATAGATTTCAGGCATTTGTGAAATTTCTGAAATTTAAATGTTTTTAAAGATTTCTTTGCTTTTTTTTATTTTGGGGGGGTATAATTTTTGTTGGTTAGTAGGAAGGAGATAGGGAGAAAGGGGAATAACATCTGACTCCTACTCTAAAATTTTTTAGTTTCAGAATTAGATTTTTAATACCACTCATGAGCAACATAATTTTCTCAAAGTACCACAGCAAAAGCAAAAGGAGAAAACACTGTGTTATGAAGTATCCTTCCATGACTATGATGCATGTGCAAAAAGAAAAGGAAAAGAATCCTTTTCCCTCTCTGTAAACAATTATGGAACTAATTATAACTAATTTATTATTTAAAACTCATTTAACCTGAAGCCCAAAATTCATGAGTACAACTTATTAGAGACCTGTAGTTTTAAGTAGAGTTTCATATCACCCCACTGTGAATGATGAGGATTCTTCTTCACAATAAATTTAAGAGCTGGTTCTCTTTTTTCTAGATCACAGTCTTTTAGAAGGTATTCTTGCTTTGCTTCTGTTTTGGTAATAAGCTTGTGTTTCTCATCAGGATCTCTGAAAAGAGAGTAAGTCCATTATATTAGTTATTTTTTTTTAATTTTTTTATTTTTTTAAATTTAATTTATTGGTACATTCTAGGTAGACACTACAGTTACATTCATTACTGGGATCTTGTACCTTTACATGCCAGGTCTTGGTTCTCATTTTTTCCCCTTGTCCCCACCCTTCCTTCACCCTCCCCTCCCCTCCCTTCCTCCCCTTCAAACACTTTAATTCCATTTTTACATTTTCTCATATTTTTTCCTTTTCCCTTGTTCTCCCTTCCCTATCCTTCTCACTGTCCCTACACAAATTAGTTATTTTAAACAAACTAAGCTTTCAAACAGTCCAACAACCAGAGGGGATAAAACTCTCAAAGAGACACAAAACACTTTTTCTAGCTGCAACTCTCAGGTTCAAATCAGTAGCATAAAAATTTCTAAAGAAAAGTACTTTATCTTTCACTTGTTCTAAGAAATTAAGTTAGCAATAGACTTGTGGCATTAACACCTTAAGAATTTCTTTAAAGTCATATTTCAGAAAGAATTTGAAATGATTTATAAGAGTAAAGAAAATATAAATGAGAGCAATGAATCAAGGATGACAGAAAATGTAAAAGCAGAAGGGCAAGATGGCAAAAAGAAATAAGTAACAAACACGCAAGCACCAATCTCCTCAACATAGCTGAATTTCCAGCTGCATCTGAGTGTCCTCAACAGATAAGTTAAAGTGGAGAGAGAGTCAATTACACAATTCTTCTCATCCATTTGCACTCCATCTGTATGTCATCCGTTCAAGGCACTCAGAATACAGCCTTGTTTTTAATGAGAAAGAAAGCCTCATTTTAATGAGGCTTTCACTCTAAATAGAAGACAGTCAACAACAAATATTATGACAGATCAAACTGCTTTAAGAATATAGAGCTCAATGAAGGAAGAGAAATTTTCAGATATGAGGGTAATCAGAGGCCATTTGAGAAGAGTCATCTGAGCAGAGGCCTGAAGAAGTCTCAACAGCAAAGAAAACCTTCCTGGCAGAAGGAACCTTTGCAGAGGCTGGAGGGCAGGAGCACACTTTGCACTTGGAGTTTACAAAGAGCTGGTTTTACTAGAAACTCAAAGCAGATGATGGTGAGTGGTGGAAGGAAAAGACAGATACACAGGGATCTTGTGGGCAGTGGGGAAGACAATCCTATTCTAAAAGGAGTCAGAAACCACTTAAACAGTCTTAAATTGCTATATGGAGAGGAGACTCAAGGGTGAAAAGTGTAGAGGGAGGACAGAGAATAGTGCAGTGATCTCAGAAATGGTGACTTAGACTAAGTGGATGGATTCAGGGTTGGCTTGAACACAAAGTTCACTGGACTTGGAATTACACACAGAACAGTAGCGTTGCAGCCAATGAACAAAGCCAGCATTTATGAATGCTCAATCCTAAAGAGGTTATTAACACAAGTCAAGAGGAAAGAAATCAAAGATTCTCTCAGAGGATTCTATCACAAAACCTACTTAAGTTTGAGATTAACCTTAAGAAAGCTAAGTAACTAAGCCAGAGGTTTAGCTCAGTGGCACCAGCACCTATCTGGCAAATGCAAAAGTCCTGAGTTCAATTCCTGATTCCACCAAAAAAAAAAAAAAAAAAACAAGAAAGAAAGCTAAAAAATGAAAAATATAAATGAAGGGAGAGACATGTAGACTACTCTACAAAGATGTTGAAAGGAAACAGAATGGATGCTTATGTTCCTAATTATGTTTAAACAAAAACAATGTGTGAAATACACCAACACAAGACTTAGCTGAATAGGAAAACCACATGGAATAAGAAGGATTCTGGGGTGATATAAAAAGGCGATAAAAGGTTAAGAGAAGAAAAAGAATAAACAGAAGAGTGCGATTTACCCCCACCTATTCTCTTTATGAGGGGAACAAAAGATGAATGAAGTATTCTGAGCTTCCCTCCCTTCACCAAAGACCCGATTTTCTAGTCAACGTGTCTATACACTGGGATAAGTAAGAAGAAACAGGGACCCTTAGGCCTAGAGAAGACAACAGTTAGGAAGCTGCCTCTGAGAGATGGAGGAAAAAACCCAGGGAAACAGAAAGGAAAAGGAAATTTCTATGGCAAAACCAGGGACATACTTTGTGTTGTATGGGGCATATCATAAACTTTGATAAGCTCAGGCTTCCTGTATTTCTTTGGCAAAATGGAAACCACAGAAATTTTAGGAAATCTTCAAAATAAAAATAAAAAAACATAAGAAAATATAAAATGCAAACACGTGCAATCATTATTTTGCCTTGAATTTATATGTAAACATTAAATTTTTTGTTTTGCTTTGGGGTTTTTTGGTACTGGGGATCGAACTTGGGACCTTGTGCTTGTGAGGCAGAAGTGGAACCACTAAGCTAAATCCCCAGCTCAGTAAACATTAAATTTTAGAAATTAAGAACACTATTTGAAAATAATCAAGTACCTGCAGTTATCACAAGTTGCCAAATCAAAGTGATTCATAAGATAGGAATCCATAAATTCTTTCCCACATTCTTCACATACTGTATAATCAAATTCCATAACTGGTCCTAAGAAGAGAAAGAAAATTCCTTAAATTTTCCTTTTTTTTTTTTTTTTTTTTACTAAAACAATGTATTTTCCTCTATTTTACTAGCTTATCATTGTGTATTTTATGCCAGACACAAATATCTAAGTAAGAGACAAAATAAAATGTTGGTTAAATAATCTCATGTCTAAAAATAATCTTTAAGAGGAAAAAATAAAGTAATAGGAAGGGAAAAAATACTACCAATGCATCAAGTGTTCCTGACCCCTCCCATGTGCAGAGCACCAGTGTCAGTGTTACACTGCTGCTGTAAGAAATAATCATGACTTGAGTGGTTTAAATAACAAGTCTATCATCTCATTTTCACAGTCTGATGGGCTCAGTGGGTCAAAATCAAGGTGTGTACAGGGCTGGCTCCTTTCTGGAGACTTCAGAGAGCACATGACCAGCTCCTAGAGGCCACCCACATTTCTTGGCCCAGACCTCCTTACCTCCCTTCAAAGCCTGCAACAGCACTTCTCACACCACATTGCTCACTCCTTCCATAACCATGAGCCCTCCTGGAGCCCTCTGATTACATCAGGCCTCCAGATAACCCAGATAATCCCCCCACTCAAGGTTTTTAATTGTATTTGCAGGGTCTCTTTTGCTCTAATTAATAATACTCATGGCCACCAGGATGATTGGGATGTAGACATCGTTAGGGGCCATCATTCTGCTTACTAGAATAATGGAAATACTTTAGGTCAGTCCTGAAGTCAGTACTTCCAGTTAATACTTCAGGAAGTACTGAAGGTTAGTCCCAAAGTGGGAGAGAGGGAAGGAATCTGCTTATGACAGCAGAGACAGGGTAACAACATATAACAAGAACAATAAAGAACAAGGCAACAAAAGAGTCAATACAGAACTTCTAAATGGGAAAATTTTTTTTCCCTCCATTCCACCCCATACTAAAAGAGCAAAAATTTCCTCCTTATGTAGTCTCAACTACTAGATTATAAACTCCTTGAGGAGAGACAGCCTATTTAGCCACCTACCCTCAACACCCAGCACAGAAACTTCTCTAGGCAAGGGAAAAAAGCAAGACTTCTTTATAGACTTGAAATGCCTTGCTAGGACCTTAATCCTTTAAACGTAAGTCTCTAGGAGAGTGGTGGTGAACCTATCACATGCGTGCCAGAGCGGGCTGTTTACTATGACTGAAAACTCTAAAAGGTCAGTACTTAATTATGACTGGTACTGTGAGGCCCACCCTGAAAAATGCCATAATTTCCAGTGGGGAGAAAGGAGTTGACACTTGTTCCCTTGTCTACATATTCTTATCACTACCTTCCTTTACTTACCTCCAAACAAGAATGACTATCAATATCCCATCCCTCTTTTTTTTTAGATAGGGCCTCACTGAGTACAGGCTGGCCTTGAACTTGAGCTGTGATCAAAATATACAGTGAATATTTAAATTTTTAAAAATGTGCTACAGAAAAAGACACAATTCCATTAATCTCCACTTCAAAATACTGGCCCATTTCAAACACACTTATCCCATCATTCTTGCCCTTTCTGAAGCAGTTCTAGAAATCCTCTTCCATAAGTGTCTATATGGTGTGATAAAAAAAAGTACAGTGAATGCTCCTGCTTAGAACAATCCAATGGAAAGGCAGGCTTGTAAAAACATTACGTTGTGCCCTCATGGACCTTATTCACTGGAGGTGGCACTGTGAAACCTAGCTCTTCCCCAAAGTCAAAATGACCATTAAAGGCAGATGTTTTGAATCAATCAAGGACATCAAAGCAGCTACAACAGGGCAACTAAAGGCAGTCAGCAAAGAGGACTTCCACAACTGCTTCAGAAAATAGCAAGAATGATGAGATACATGTCTGAAGTGAGGGGAGTATTTTGATTAATGGCATTATGTCTTTTACTGTAATGTTTTAATTTAAATATTCACTGTATTTTTCAATAATTCATATATAAATGACTTACCAAAGCATTAACCTTACATAATTGATTTATATCTTTTTATCCCAGATCTAGCTTTCATAAACTTTCTCCAAGCATAAATCAAAAGAATGTCTTAAATTTTTTTTTTGGGGGGGGACCAGGGATCAAACTCAGGATCTTGCACTTGCAAGGCAGGCACGCACCTCTGAGCTAAATCCTGGGCCCTAAATGTCTTTAATTTTATCTCTAGGAATTCTGGTCCCTCATTTCATCTGGTCAAGATAATTTGTTTTGTTTCTTTTTGTTTGGGAGATAGGGTCTCACCGTATCACCTAGGCTAGTCTTGACTCCCCTCAGTCTCTGGAGTAGCTGGGACCACAAGTTTGCCTGAGTTTATCAGATAATTCTGAGTATTTATTCTATCCCTCAATATATTGGCTCACTTCCTATTATAAAACAACAGAGAACATCAGCATCAAAAGTTAAATAATCTTTTCAATAAGGGTGTTTCCTTTGACTTTTTCCTTTAATTTACTAACAAAACCACCAAACATTATCAGTCTTGTTTAATTTGCTCACTGCTTAGAGTAACTGTGGTATTATTTTAGCATCAATTTGCAAAGAATTATGCATGTTATTCAAAATAACCAATGTAGACATTCATTTCTGAAAAACTTACGCTTTACCTGGTTCATGAACAATGTTTCCAATTTTATGTTCTTCTTCTTCCTCTTCCAAAATGAAGCCCCCTCCTGTATCAATTATTTTGGAGGCTGCTTTTATATTTGTCAACCCTAGAAAAAGTAAAAAGAAGTGGTCATCAACTGAACTAGGTAAATCGCTGTGTTCTCTTATGCATAAACATATACTTTCTTCAAACTGAATGCTTATCAGAGAAATGTTATTTTTTTATCTAGATGTCCCCCCAAAGCCTTGTGCCTTCATAGCTGGGCTCTGGGAAGGTGGCTGGATCATGGGAGTGTGATTAGAGGATTAGTACACTCAGTTTATAGCTAAATGTGATGTTGGGAGGTGGGTCAGTGGGGCGTGGCCTTGAAAGGTACATCTTCTTCCTCCTCTGATCTCTCACTTTGTTTCCTGCCACCATGCCATGAAGGTACTTTTCCTCTGTCATGTCTTGGAGCCAAGCCGACTATGGACTGGAACCTCTAGAAACTGTGAGCCAAAATAAACCTTTCCTCCTTTAAATTGTAAGTGCTGGGTATTATATTTCAGTGGTGAGAAGGCAACTAAAGATATCAGTATCACTACTTCTATCCAACATTGTATTGAAGGTCCCTACTAGTGTAATATGGCAAGAAAAACCAAAAAAAAAAAAAAAAGCACAAAAATTGGAAGGAAAGAAGTAAAATAGTACTCATTTGCAGGTGATGTGATTATGTATATAAAATAGCCACAGGAATCTTCAAATGGAAGAGCTAGCAACAACCTCAGAAGATATGTATAAAACCTCTATACAGAAAGCCTCAGAAAACTAAAAGAAATCAAAGGCAACCTAAATAAATGGACAAGTATAGCACATACGGATTTTAACCCTCAATGTATTGTAAAAATGTCAATTCTTCCCTAAATTCATCTAAAGAGTCAAAGTGGTCCCAATCAAATCCCCAAAAGCAGGGTATGTGTTGTGGGAGAAGGGATGCTGATAATCTGATTCTAACATTTATATGTGAACAGAACTTAGAGCAGCCAAAATAATCTTGAAAAAACTGTAGTATTTATATAACCAGACTTACTTTAAACCCTAAGACTGAGTTATTGACACAAAGATAAATAGACCAAAGGAACACGAGAGTCCTGAAATAGACCTACATGTATTTGCTACTTAATTTATGAAAGGCTCCAAGGTAATTCAGTGGGAAAAAGATAAGTGGTACTGGGATTTATAATGAAGGTACTACTACAATACAGACAGAAAAGGATAGTCTTTTCAATAAATGAACTTTTAATCAACCTCATATAAAACACACACATAAAAGACTTTAAAATGGATCACAGTCTTGGATTTGAAAGGTGAAACAATAAAGCCCCTGGACCAGTGGTAGCTGACCTATGTATGGTACACATGCCATAGCAGTCTGTATCACTGAAAGCTCTAAAAGGTTTGCCATTACTGCTCTAAACAAAAACACAGGAAATGAACTTCATAAATTTAAGGTAGTCCAAAAGCTTCTTAAACAGAACACAAAAAGTACTAACCATAAGAGAAAATATGCTAAACTGGACTGGATAAAACTTAAGGACTCCTATTCAAGATACTATTATGACAATAACAGGAAGCAAACAGATTTTTGCAAAATGTCTGACCAAGGACTCATATCTATATGAGACCCAAAACAAATAATTTAGGAAAAAAAAATAACAAGCACCTCAGACACAAGGATATGTGAATGCATATGAAAAGGTGCTTGTCATCATCAATCTCTAGAAAAGCACAAATTAAAACCACAATGAGGGATTTAGCTCAATGGTGCAAGCACAAGGTCCAGAGTTGGATCCCGGTACCAAACAAAAACAAAAACAAAAAACCCACGATGAAATATCACCACACTTTCACCAGAATGTTTAAAATTAAATAAAGGAGATAAAATGAAAAAGACTACCAAATAGTATGTATGTGGAGCGATCCAGACTGTCCTGTGCTGCTGGTGAGATTGTAAACTGATAAACTCACTGTTTGGCAGTATCTACAAAAGGTGAACATGAACTGCCCTATAGCCCAGCAGTTCCACCTTTAATACATACCCAACAGAAATAAGTATGTATATACAAGAAATGGTAAAAAACATGGTGAATATTTTTTTAACTTATTGTAGTAAAAGACGTATTGCCAAGAAGTGTGTTCAAAGCAAGGGGGAATATCTTGAGAGGGACTAACAACAATGTGTCTTTAACTGTAATAACTTTTTAACTTAAAAATTCATTGCGTTTTCTGATCATTCCTTGTATGCTTGTATGTCCACTAAAATATATGTACAAGAAAAATATATGTAAAATATATGTAAATCTCAGAGGATTTATTCATTATAGCTCCAAACTGGAAATGACCCAAAAGTAAAATGGAAAAATCGTGGTGTAAAACAAAGACTACTATACAATATATAAATAAACGACTGACACATGCAACAAAATGGATGAATCTTTCAGATATTATGTTGAGCAAAAGAAGCCAGACACTATGATTCTATTTATGTATTCCTGTATAATGATCAAGGAAGATAACGAAAATCACATCACTCTATAAAGCACTATACAAATGGGCTTTTCAAATGTCTTGACAAACTTCTTTAAACTTGATTCAGTTGCAAGTAGATTCTCTGCCTGTATACAGTTAAGGCAAACCTTCCAGTCAATATCAACAGAGCAAACCTGATGGCAACTATAAAAGGAAGTTTTAAATTGTATACTGCTGTAAAATAGGCAGTTGTTTAAGAGTGGGTCCCGGCAAGGACCACTCTATTGAAGGACAGGATGTATCAGAGATGAGGGCAGAGGCATTCCTACCAAGAAGGACCTAAGCATCATTAATAACATGTCTGTGTTATGGGCTTGAGATAGAGAACAAGACACAAGACCAAGGTATCGGCATGAAGAAGCCTCAACTGTAGTGAAGAAATCACATGAGCTGAGGGTTCCACAAGGCACCGAGGGTAGGACCAATACACGTGCTGGAAAGGTAAGGAACTGGGTTACTAATGGGGGGAGAGAAGTCTGGAGAAATACAGAAGAATCAGGCGAGGTCAAAGAGCTTAGAGTTTATCATGGAGGCAATGAAAAACTTTGGAAGGGTTTCAAATAGGAAAAGACAAGATTTTTGTGTTAGGCATATTGACATTCAAATAAAAAACTAAGAAGCTATTGCAACAATCAAAGAAAACAGGATATGAGGCAGAAATTAGAGAAGAGGGAGCAGTCGTAGAAATTGTAGGTATAATTGGAGCAAATTACTTCCAAAAGCAATGCGGACATATGATTGATTTTCTTTTTAAATAGTGGGTAGCTAAGGGTTGCCCTAAGAAAGGGGGCTGATGAAATCTAGCTCTTGCAAAAATAATTTTTTCTTGCTAAAGATAATAAACACACCTATTGTAGCAGAGGTAGCTGTGGTCAAGGAAACACCCTGAACCCAATGTCAGATGCCTTGAGGTCCTGATGAACCTATGCAAAAGAACCAGAGTAAATCCTTTTCCTTCTCTGGTCTCAGCTACCACATCAGTAAAACAAAGAAACCAAACTCTGCCCTTTTCATTTTCCAGGACGGCAGTGAGAATCCAAATGGATAATCTGGAAAGTTTGGGGCTTTAGAGGTTACTCTTTTAGCCACAAGAGGGCAGTGGCTCACATCTCTTAGCTATCCCAGCCCAAGAAGAGGGCCGGCAACTCCGTGGCTTTCAAGTGGGTGGATGAACCAGGGAGTGTGCAAGCCTACTATTTAACTGGGTCACAGGTCTCTAAAAGATTTTCAGGAGGATCACTCTTGGGGCTGGTAAAAGCGCAACGGGGTTAGGGCAAAAAGGGAAGGTCTGGGAAAACGAGGCGCTGACAGGAACAGGCTGGTATTCCCTGCGGGGGCGGCCGCTGACCAGGCGGAACCTGGGAGTCAAGGGCCTGGGTTCCAACGCGAAAGCACCCTGCAGCCGGACCAGACGCTCCATCAGGCCCGCAGGACGTTCGCGCACCGGGGACCTGGCGCCAACACGAGCCCTTAGCCGGGCCTGGCGCAGCATCAGCGCCCGCTGCCGCTTCCGCTCGATGCTTGCGCGCACCGATGCTGGCAGCTCCACCGACTGCTCTGAAGCCGCGGGCTCTGGTGATGCCGCCTCGGCTGCCGCCATCTCCAGCCTATCCCTCTACGCTAGACCGAGCCCACAGCTGGCCCAAGCGCGGGTACAGTCTGCCGCCTCAGGGAGATGACGCAGTTGAGGAGGAGAACCGGAAGTGGGCGGAGTCCGGGGTCTGGGCATGCGCAGAAACAGGTGCTTCCTGGCTGTTCGCTTGTAATGAGGACGCTAAGTGTAAAATGATGTTTTAGGATCTGGTGATCTTTTAAATAAGTTTCGCTTAGTGGTTCATGCCTAAAAGATTAAATCCTAGCTGATGCAATCGGTGTGATCTTCGGTAACTTGTTCGACCAGAATTTAGTTTCTTCTGTGATAAAATTATTATGGGCCGCTTCCAGGAAAATTAAATTTGCCAGTACCATGTCTGGCACACAGAAAGCGTCAAACAATTATAGCAGTGAGTAGTAGTAGTACCAATTACAGAGCTAAACAGATAACTTTATGTTGGACACACGCCCTAGGGAACTGAGCCTTTGATTTGAAATGAGAAGACCTGGGTTCAGATTATTGGCAAACAAGGTACCTGGTACTAAAGCTAGCGTGCAAGGGGTTGGCTATCTTTTCCAGGGAATTCTCCTGATGTGGACGAGCTGCTGCCAGATAGTAGAGTTGGACTGGGACCACATAACCTGATTTTGAAAAGGGGTGGCAAGTAGAACAAAAGAACCACGGAGTGCTTTTCCAAACGTGTTTGCTTTTTCCTTATGTAAAACTGAAATCCAGAACATATACGGTACTACTTTTTAATCACTCCATGCACCATCTAGGACCAGCTTTTCGAAAGACCAACCAAACACTCTGAGGTTTCCCATTAATATTCAATAACTGGCTCTTGAGAATAAGATCTAAACTATTGGCCCTACATATTATTTACAATTTTACATACGTATGTATGTATAAAGCAGCAGAGCCTCGTGAAAAGCAAATATATATTGAGATGTTCTGGCTGAACTTGAGCTAACAATCTCAAGCCATCTCCACTTCCTTTCCCCTCAGATCTCTTTCTGTTCACTAATAGCATCCAGAGGGGGTCTCACATCTTGACAGCAAAAACACAAGCAAGAAAGGAAAAAATACATTGGAGCCAGGTCTGATGGCAGAGGTCTCCAACCCCAGTGAAGGAAGCCCCCAAAGGAAGCGGCAAGTTCTTCATGGCTACAGTTCTTCTGGGAGGATGGAAGCCACACCAGGAGTCTCAGAGGCAAAGGGTAGAACAAGCTTTATTCCTAGCACCAGTGGGTCAGCCTGGGTTCACACACCGAGAGACTGACCGCCCCCCTTGCGGTTGAACAGAGCAGGTTATACTCTCTGGAAGGAGCAGGCTTGCAGGAGTTACAAAGAGGACCAGTCATTCGGGCTCAGCAAATTCATGGGGTATTAGGCGTTACAGGCTGCAAGCTCAGCGCAGAGAGTTACACCTCATCTACATTTGGTGAGGAGGTAGCAAAACTGAAAATGAAGAAATTTTCTGAGATGCTCCAGAGGAAGTTCTTGGCTAGGCAAGCCTGGACATGTTGAGGGAATGGGAGCAAACCTCCCCGTAAGTCTTTCTTTAACTGCAGAGAGGTACTTTCCTCCTTCACTCCCTCCTCTTTTTCATAGTAGTTAATTCTTTAACTATCACAGGTATTTACATGTTGGCTGGTATATGTGTAATCACCTGATTAAGAGATCATCATGAGCTGATAAGATTTTTGAATTTTGTTATGGAATTAACATGTTTGGAGACAAAACGTTTTACCAATTAGGTCCTCTTGGTTTGTAGTGAAGAGGTCAATGGCCCTTTTATTTTGGAGGATGACTTCAGCCAATGAATCTGACTTTGGAGGGTATCACGGGTCTGTTTGGTGGCATCTAGCCCAGTAACCTGGGCCTTTGTCTTATAGGTTGTTTTTTTTGAGGACAGAAGTATTTCTTTAGCCTGATACTTTTGCTCCTGGTTAATATTGGTACAGCCTGACAACCACTAGTGACCCTTGACTTTTTTGGGACAAGCATCATAATACAGTTTTACCTGAGGCTGGGTCTGATTCTGATTCTGAACTGATTCCCATTGGGAATCAGTTCAGAACACTTGGAGAATCAGTTTTATACAGTTGTACCTGAAATTCCCAGTATCCTGAGTAATCAATCAATAGGATCTCCTTCAGTCAAACCAAACAAGATAGGACAGCAAACAATACCATAAAACCCCAACATAAGATTAAAAGGAAACATTTCTGGGAAATATTCCATTCTTTCAGGGCAATAGTCACTAGGCCTATACCAAAGATAAAAGCAATATTGATGAGGGTGACGAGGGTAAAGATATCAAAGGGAGACTGAGTCTAGAAGATGTAGCAGTAACTCTTGGGGTTGGAGTCCTCAAGCTTCAGTTTTGTGTCGACCTGTCAGCTTCCAGAGTGGTAGGAGCAGGGCTTTGAGAACATTGTCATTTCCTCGGGGTGATTTTTTTTTTTTTTT